CCAATCATACATCATATTATATAATATTCGTAAGTTTGTATTTCAGTCATAAATTGAAATTTATCGATAGTTGTGATTGACCTTCCTCAGTCATTCAACACTTAAGGCGCAATTACTAAAAAGTGCGTTAACTTAATGAAGCGGAATGACTATATCATAGACTAGTCAAAGTGATAAGAATGCACACTTATTTTACGGCGGTGATTCACTGAAAATAACAGTAATTGATAAGTAAACTACGATTTGGAATAATTTTACTTCATAAAATGTTATTTAAATCATTCGACCGTTTGATTATTTATCGTTAGTCAACGTTAGTTGTGCGCGATCAATGAATCTGCCCTTGTTTGTGAGTAGTTTCGGAAATAAGCAACCAACGATGTGATTATTTGCAAAGTGATTATGATTTTGAACGAACCAATGACGTTTTCTGTAGATCTGAAAGAATGAAGTGTTCTACTTGCCTTTGCTGACACATAACATCCGCTCGTGTTTATTTCATCATGCTCCTGATACTCCTTTAAATATTGTGTTTGTTTCTTTTGTTCATTCTCAATTATTCATTGATTACACAGCATTTCCTTTACAAACACAACTATATATATATATATATATATATATATATATATATAATAATAATACTTTTCATAATAATAATATAAATGTTATAATGTCCTCAATTTTCAATTCAATTTTCAAAAACCAAAAACTCAACTTTAATCCTCTTTTGAATGATTCCTTACGTGATGTCGTTCGCAGTATGCATTTGATCATTGTTTTTTTATCATTTTGTTTCACCATTTTATGAACTGATAATATTGTTACAAATGGTGCTGCTCACTCACTACTCATGACGCGAGCAGAAACTTTTAAGCTGCTTACGTTCACTGTTCTGGTTGCTCGCTTATTGTGGTTGACTGCTCCTGCTCAAATTTTGCTCGCCTGCTCGTCAGTTCCTCATTATTAATTGTAATTGTCATTTCAAAAAATTGCACCATTTCATTTGTTATTTGTTGTTTTGTTGCGCTGCACTCCACAGATTATTGCAAGTTGTGCTTTCAAATGCTGAATTATTGTTCTCTGGCATAGGTCATCTTTTATTTTTGCTTTTGTTTGAAACCGCTTAAAACATATGCAAATTCAGTTGTCGATTTGTTCGTGTTTGTTAGAATAGATTAGTTTTTATTTAATTAGAGTCTTTTTGAAGGGTAGGTTATGCGTATTTAAATTTAAAATTGAACTGAACAGTGTAAATCTTTCTTCAGAATATCTTCCGTAACTGTGATTATTTCATTGTTGTATAATTATTCGTAACTTTAATTTCGTTTGCGTTAGCGTTAAGGATAGCGATAAATACATAAATGACTAATATCGAAATGCATTCCATCTGTTTATGCGTGAATAAAATATGTATTCATCCTAATTCAAAGCAAAATCGATTTCGTTTTGAATGACTGTTCCACATTGCATCATTTCATGAATGGGATCAGTTGTTTTGCTATTTATGCACAATTTTTTGTTATGTTGTTACACGTTTATAATACATCAGTATGTAACCCAGACAAAATATCAACTGTGATTGATGGATAACTGTTAATATGAATAGTGTTGATAAGAGAAAATTCACTCGTGAATTATTTATTGCATTCATTCAGATGTCTCGAACGTTGTGTTGTTGTTGCTTTTCGAATAATGTTCGTCATTTGATATTTATCCTATCGGTTTTATGCGCTTCGACACTTTTATCAAATATTTTGCTCTTCAACGCAGCTGTACTCCACAACAGCAAAGTGTGTTAATTTTCGTTGCTTTTTATCATTGTTCTTACTTATTTTCCACACTTCACTATGCTCTTATATACCATATTTTTTAAATTGCGCTGTGTAGTAAAGAAATTACGCTAAGCTGAGAAAGAGAGAGTACTGCACATAGAATTGCGCGTAGAAAGGAAATTTTTTTTTGATTTTCACCTACAGTTCCTTTGCATATAATTGTCAAAGTCCGGTAAACAACTAAAAAGCATAAATTTCTGGAAAACTTGTTTTGCTGCAAAACTTGCCTTTTTACTGTCACATAAGGGGAAGATATAACGGTGATATGGAAATTTTTGAGAAGCAGTGTTTATTAAGGTTGAGGAGAGAGCTTATTAAATGTGGTACGCTGTGTTTCTTTTTCTACCTTTTTAAACATTTCATCATATCATTGATTATCTCTTTTCGTATTTCTATAGTCACGGATTTTGATTAAGGATTTTCAATTAGTTTCGTCTGATTTGGAGTCGTGTGCCTCATCTCAAAATTATGTTAGTAAGTGGTTTGCTTTTTGTTGTGTTTTGTTTGTTTGTTTTTTTGGATATTTTTTTAAAATTTCCTCATATTTTTGTTTGTGTCGAAGTATTTTTGAATAGATTATTTGGCAGTGTACAAATGCCGATTAGAACGTTCACTGTAAGCATATGCGTTCAGAAATGTTTACATGCTCTGATGATCACTATTCTCAAGGATGCATTTAGCACATCCTCTTCTACAGTAATCATATGCGTATGCTAGGAAGGATCCGAAGAGACGAAAATGCGAACAATGCAAATGAACTAACGACGACAATTGATTTTGATGTCAATGAGACAACAACCCAACAAATCGTTGACGAAGTACTCAGGAACGAGCCAGGTTCTGAAATGCATTGTATTAATTGATATATGGGAATGAGGAAAGAAGTAATCGACATAAATATATTTTATGACGATTCACCAGTCTTCTAGAATCACCTCAGAGAGAAGTAGTTGTGGACAATAGCGACGATCAACGAGCGATTTCTTCGGAATTAATGAATAATACGACGACCGAAAATTTGTTGAATAGAAAACAAGATGAACCATCAATGAGGTGGGAAATGAATGGTTGTTTCGTTTTCAGTTCTTGTTGTGTTGTTAGCACTCTTTAGCGGTACGCAGTTAGTTGTTGAATGCATTTCTGATAGATCATGGAGTTTTTTATTGGAATATCAACAAACCGATTCATTCGTTGCTCCGCTGACTGCTTTAGTCACATTCATCTTTTAATGAGAGCATTGCAATCTTTCTTCGAAAAAACAGAAAATGATTAGTTGTAAAAAGAAACTAATTTCTTAGTCATCTGACTCGATATCATTTTTCAGTTCACCGTCGAACAGTAGTGCATTATCGTTTGTAGATAGCAGTCAGCCATCGGGGTCACCTTCAAGCATTGATGTCTCGTATTCTGACAACGGTTTAAACGATTACTCATTCTCATCACATAAGCATTGCTCCTTTTGTTCATGTTTCTTGAACTCATTTCGTATATCATTGAACTGTTAGAAGCGATTGTTTCAAAGCAGTGTTTTGCATGCGTTCAATGAGACTGAAGAAGTATACACAGTATTTATTGTCACATCTGTTTGCTCGGAAATCTGCCAGCGTGATTTTAGCTGTATGGTGTTATCATTATCACTGCATTCATTGCTCAGCTCTTTACCTCTTCTTCGTGATGGTTTCTTTCTTCATTTATGCTTGCAGTTTTATTGAGCATCATTCCTGATGGACATGTAACTATTAGATGAGAAAATTTATGTTTCTATTCATTAATTCGGGATTTATTTGTATACTGCCCTGGTGATTAACATTACTTCTTTGAATGACTTCAAAAATCATCGACATTGATTATTTTTTGTTTTTAGATAGTATTGAAAATGCACAATCGCCCTTCACCACGGTTTCTGATATGCAGTCATTCGAAAAAAACCAGAAAATGTAGGTATTGCTTAATTATTTGTTTATTGTTGATTCGTTCCAAAATGCAACTGTTATTTTGAATAGCGCTGATTTGTTATGAAATTTTTTGAGCACTAATTTTCCTTTGAAATTTATTAATGAGATCTAATGAATTGTTTAAGAGCAGGAATTATGGGATCATCGTTGGAGAAAAAAATAGCACTGGCATTACTTTGGATATCACCTGGTATTGGAACGTTTTTAGGGACACTTCCATCAATATGGTTTTTACGTGCGATTGGTGAACGCTATTTGTTTGCGGGAAGTCTGTTCCTTTCTGCAGTAGCCACTTCCTTGATGGCATTCATGCTGGATGATGAGTGGAGTGAGTTTTGCTTTGACTTTTATTATTATTATTATTATTATTATTATTATCATTTTATAATAATGATATTAATATCGTTATCATGTTACTATTCATATTGTTACTGTTATTATCATTATTGTTATTATGAATTAGAAATATTGTAGTGCATTTATGATTGGTTCAGATCAACTTGCAATAGCTGCTCTACGATTCGTTCAAGGCGTTGCATTCTCGAGTGCATTCCCTATCATGGGCTCAGTATCAGCTAATTGGGGCACTCTCAAAGAGCAGTTCCTCTTGCTTGCGTGCAGTATTTTCTTTATTGAAGTATTTTTTGATGATTCATCCAATCCATTTCTATCGCTTATACTTATTTACTTCAAGTTTTTATCTGTTTGTGTCGTGAGCCGTTAACATTGAATCATTTATAGTTCATACACAATTTTTTGTGTGCATTTGCTGTTTTATGTAGTGCTGATTGAGCCAGCAGCTAGTTGTGCTCGCATTCAGGTATCTATCTCATCGCACCACCTGAGAAGCCGAAACATAAATTCAAGTTTACTAAGCTACACAGCATTTTAATTACCTCAACTGTCCCACAATACTTTTAAAGCTATTTGAAATTGCAGTCCACACCAGCGTTAAGTTGGCCAATTTGTGCACGCTTCATCGAATACGATTATAAGTTACCTTATTTCATTCACTCGACTGCGACATTTATTTTTGCTTTCATATGGGCCGTATTCTATCGTAACAGACCACAATATCATCCGTGGGTTAACGGATTAGAACTGAATAAAATTGTTTCTGGGAAAGTGGGGGTATGTCTCTTTTTTTTCCTTGTATGTTTTTTAATTGGAGACTTTGATTGTTACTAACATTATTTATCGTTCGAGTGATTATTATCACTAGAGCCGCTCGACGTGATGAATAGGGAGAAGAGGCCAACTTCAATTTTAGTGGATATTTTTACAAAAGGTCAACATGCTTGCAGTTGTCAGTTTTTAACTTTTATATCCTTTTGAGATCATTCCACTACAGTACTCGTTAAGGCAGAGTTTCACTGATTTGATATAATATGTTCAGGCGTTTAATAATCGTGCCTTGGAAGACCAACCATTTCATGTTCTGTTGAAATCGGTGCCTGTATGGGCGATATGGATGGCGTCATTTGGTTTTTTCATCATCAGCACGTTGCTGTCACAGTTTCTTCCGACTTATTTTTCTATTGTGATTCAGGAAGAGTCACCGAGTTCGATACGTCTTGCTGCGATTCCATTTTATTTCGTTGTAATCTTTCATATCCTTTAATTTCTCTTTATCGTTCCTTTCTTAAATCAGGTAATCGTAGTGCAGACTAGTTTCATGAGAAATTTTTTATAAGAAGCTTTCTGAGTTATTAATTGAACTTAAACCGATTGTGTTTTTGAGCGATTATTGCTTTTGACGATAGTCTTTCGATAATATATTATCAAAGTCGCATTTTAAAGCATTCGCTTTTAAATTTTCAGTTCCTTTATGTATTATTACATGCGGTTTGGAATTGTTTACCGCGAGTATGTGGCGAATGGCTATTGGTGCTTGTATCTAATTCATTATCATTTGTTGCTTGTGCATTAATTTTAATTATTTTCGCAATATTTCCTTTAAAGGGTCATGATATTCTAAGGTACTCAAGTTTGCCAGTTTTTATAAACTTTCATTATTGGTTCTCAATTACAAACATATTTTCCATTCGTTATTTAATCCATTATATTTTATCTATTATCCTCGTTCATTCATTTTAGTTTTCTTCTAACAAAAAAGCAACAATGCAGTTATATATGAATGACTGATTTTTAAATTTTAAATCGATCTTCAAAAATTTCTTCATCTTAAACTATATCAATAAATAATTTTAGAGCAGTATCTGTTTTCTCTATACTGATTATCTGTATAACTTTCTCAGTATACGGTTTTGGACGAAGTGCTGTTTTGGTTGGTCGTTATTTTACACAGTACATAATTGCTAATCTTCAGTTATTTATGGGTTTAGCAATGATGATCACATCAGCAATTCCCGTGCTGACTGTTCAGAATTGGTTCATTTTACTTCTTTTGATACTTTTAGTTGTGCATTTTTCATCATTATTCACTCTTTACCTGTTGTTGCTCCAAGTTTATTGACTAATATTTTTGTTCTTCTTTACTCTTCTGAGAACTCAAAATACCAAACGCTATTGAATGCACCTCAAAATCACTGTTCATATTTATCGGTAAATGCAAATCCAGAAAACTTGTTACCTTATGCTTAAGATATTAATTCTTATCTGCATAGATTAAAGTCCCCTACATTGCAAATTGGATGACTAAGTGGGTGTTGAGAAATGTTTTGTTTGTTGATAACAAAATAATCAATGCCCGTTCCAAACAAGAGCACAATCAAAAACGAAAATAAAACATAATTCGTCTTTTTTTTTCAGCTCTCCAACTGAATGGCGTCCCACAGTTTTGGTATGTGCTGCGTTATTACTTATTTGTGCGACGATATTCGGCTTCTTGGCCGATGTCAAAGCCGAGAAATGGGCCAAACAAAGTTGGGATCCATCAGCTGCACGGCGCATGATAAATGCCGAACAAATTGACTATCATTACGATGAATGCGGCATCATAGAAATGCGTTCATTAAGTCAATAAATTTATTAATCCTATTGATGTGATTAATATATCATTGTTATGATCATTACCATAACTAAAATGTTCATATATTGGCAGTGTATTGTTTCTGTATAAAATTGTTCCTGTTTACTTGATTGTTCATTGTACAAAATAATCCTCAAAAAAAAAGAAGAATTCAAAATAATGATATAATAATTTCTGTTTGCGATACTCTCAAAATGGTTCTTTAGGGTAGTATTACATTCTTGACTCGGTGAGCTCACTTGATTTAGAGTTTTGCTTCCACATTCTTCTGTATTTTTATCTTCATTCATTTCTGTCATATTCTTACTCAACACGGTTACACTGAAAGAGATACAATTATTAACGCCATTAATGTTCTTGTATTTCTTATGCAAAATTATGGGTCATAGTAAAGCAATGAATAATTTCACTGATAGCTGTTTGTGCATCCGTTCTGAGCGCGATAATATGCCTATCAAACTGACCAAGTATATGGAAGCGCTGTCAATGAGTAAAATTTATCGAAGCATTCTAATTTAAAATGAATATTTATATGAATGATTAAATAAAATGATTCTATGAAATTTAGTTGTGTTAACGTCACACTTTATGAGAATACTGTTGCTATGGTGATCATTCAACACAGCCAACAAGCGCTCTTCTCCATTATCAAATCCGCTTCTGGCTATGAGACCGATTCCGTGGCTCTTTCAGTGCTTCAGTCCACATGGTGCATGCATTGTTCATCTTTCATGGATGTTGTAACTATTAGAGTTCGATATGACAATCGCGGCTTGTACTTCAATTATAGTTCCTTCAGCTATCATAACCTTGTATTATCACCTGTTTGAGTACACTGATATGATAGTGTAGTTGCAAAGGTGGCGGACTATGCTAATGTACTGAATAATCTTATCTGATCAGCTGCTCATTTTTTATGATCGCTAGTTACTTTCTTGTGTCAGTTTATTTGGCTATTGCTTCTTTAGCTATATATTTCTTCGCAAGTTACTTTTTCTTCAAATTCGGAAAAAACAGCCAATGATTGATCTGTTTTTATGATTCCTTAAGCTCAGCTGATTTCATTGGTTCGCTTCCTATTCATAATCTTTGCTGTGGTATAACTCCAACTAATTATGGGACGCTATCATTTTCTTAAACTGAGCGATGTTGATTTGGTTGAAGAGCGATTTTTGCACGTGAATATCGGAATTATTAATGCATGCCTTTATGAGTTCATTTCATATTTTTACCCACGTAGATGTCATGAACTTTTTATAATCGAACATTTAGTTCTGTCCGTACTTGATCACAGTGTAACGATGGTAACCGTACGTTCTTTGTTCAGTAAAGCCACATCGAACATTCGCTTTGGAAAGTTTGTTAGTAATTACCAGGGTTCGCTAATTCAAAAATTTGAGAATTCACGAAATGAGTTAGATAGGATTCTCATCGACCCAACATTCTTTCCGTCATCATTTTATTCTTTGCTAATAAACTGATTGCTTTTATTCATCATATTTTATATATTCAGATCATTTTTCATATTAGTTTTTATTTTTTGAGTACGATTTGCTTTCGTGAACAGAACGATTGCAAATGCTGATATATTGATGTATCATAAAAGTAATTTTCATTTGCTATTCGTTCGTGATGATGATGATGCAAATAAAAATCCTAATAACAAAACGATGCATTTATCGGTTCAGTACGAAACGAGACTTCGTTAATGTTGATTCTGAATGAATAGTAACGAACTTCTTCAAGATATAAACGCAACATCTAAAGTGTCCAATTTGCTTTCGCCTCGTTATGCTATATGAAGCAACAACTGTCGATATTGTTACTGAAAAATGGCCACAACAAAACTGGTATTAGATGCAGAAATTGCTCAAGCTATATATCAGGTAGAGAATTTGAACTAATGCTCGTAGTTACTCGATTAGAAATGCTTGTTGATACTCAAAAGTTCGAGGTTAAGATCAGCATATAGTCTTGCACTTAGGATTACATCTGTTACCACGTATGGTATGGTGATATGAAATGAATAAATTCATTTTCAGTACCTTATTTTGACGGGTCTCAGTAGTGCAGCGAACACATTTCAACATGACTGTGAATCGCGCAGAGTGAAATTAAAGCGAATGTCGCCAGTGAACAACAAGAAAAGGGTGGAAGAATACGCCGTGCAGAAGGTTCAGTCAACTCTTCATAATTTTTATTAGTCAATCGTTTTTAGTGTTACTGCCATCTGCCTTACATTTGAGCATATTCATTGATGCAGTATGCCACATCTAACATGAAATACCGTTTCTCTTTGAATTTCAAAGAACGAAGCAGTCGTCACCAATAGAATGATTTGAGTTTGTGAACGAATTTCAATCTGAAACAATTATGATTTCCAACGACTGTCTTTTGAACAACTAGATGATGAGAGGTGTTTACGAGTGATTTGTGAATGCAGCTGGATGCATCTCTTTCAAAGATTGCTGGTTTTTGAAATGGTTCATGACTTTGAGAATGAGTCTGTGTTGATGGAAACAAATGAATGATAGTTACCGATGAAATGAATTGTTTTGCAGAAAAAATTACTGTTGCATTTTGAACGAGGTGAAAGCACGCAATTCTTAGCCATCTGGAATGAACTCTTTCCAATCATAAGGGACAGCGAGCGGGATGAGGCAATAGACGTACTTGAATGCTATATACGCATTTATTTTGCTACATTTCCACTGCGGAAATCACCTCCAGTAAGTTGTGTCTTATTGCTTCTTAATTGATTCGTTATTGTTGTTAAATGAAAGTTATNTATCTGTTGCTGTTCGAGAACGTTGTTTGTCTTCAGTGAAGAATTCGTTCTTATTTTAACTTCACCTTACAACTGAGTTAACTCATTCTCTTGATCAACTAGTTACTTTGACTCGTATAGTAGACATTGTATTTATTTAATAGTCTTCGGTTATCTAGCAAAACAATCATAGAATATTATCTGAAAGGAAATGGCAGAATGCATGTGAAAAGTTAAATAAAATAAATTAATTAAACGAACACTGTTAAAGATTATCGAACACCGCGATCAACTCATTTACAAGTCAAATTTAAATAAAACAGAACCAACCAGTCGTAATCTACAAGTCTTCAAATGTGTCTAACGATAAATTTTGAATTGAGTGCAACCTCATCCATAGATTAGCCTCGTTCAACTGAGACTAACTAAGCAACTCGCGGCTGAGTTTTGCCATGTTAGTGTATGCTTGAACCCAACAAAAAGAGTGAAATGGCCGAAGTAAACGATGTGAGAACTTAAGGCGAGAAATGAATATCGTGAGAAGATCGTGGATTTGAAGAATTATTTAGAAGAAGGGGCCGGCTCTAAGTTGAGTGATACGCCCGAATTAGTGCAATATTTCGCGTTACCATACGTCAATGAACCAGGCAAACATCCAGTTTTCAAGGAGCTTGTTCAGGTTCGCATCGTTAGTTTGCTGATTTTGGACGCTTCTTATTGCTCGACTGAATCATTCGAAGAGTTCAAGAAATAAGATATTTTGAATTTTAACTGAGAAAGCAGTGTGAAAACCAAAAGAAAAACATAGTTTGTTTCATCATTCGAAGCTAAGCTGATAATAATTACGCTCCATGATATTTATGCTCATATGATGCTATTATTAAAGGTTAAAAAACAAATACAATAATTATCATTATTGTTAGCAACTACTAATTATTTCTTATCGATATTCAATGAATAAATCTGCAGAAAAAATGGGCCAAAGGAATTTTGGAGAAGTTGGAGCGATATTTAAGCCGGCAACCACTAAACGACGGTGAAGCGAAGCTGATCAAATGGATGGCAGCTTACTATCAGTACGCAGAGCAACAAACGCAAAGCAATGTTAACTTTTGCATGAAATATAAGAATCATTAAATTCATTTGTTGTCAGTTTTAACTTTCGCATTTAATTGTATTATTCTATGAATTTTTAACTTGACCTTCACGACAGCTATTCTTTTGTTTTACCTTAAATAAGTGATTTAATTAGCCATTGACAAAGTATTCTGTCGCATTTTATAAAGTAATTACAGAGAGGATGTTCACTTCTGGAAGCACCGCATTGTTCAGATCGGACTGTGTTGGAGTATTGTGAACTACAGGATGATTATTATAAGTTAATTGATATTGCTGCAGAGCTGATTGATTGCTTGGAGCAATCGTGTCAGGGCAGAACAGTGAGTCGTGCATCCAATCTCAGCACTTTCCTTGCACTGTTCACTTAACTTTGTGCTAGTGCTCATTGAGAAACGAACAGCCGGCCAGTATCGACATGCATTGTAACCGTATCGGAATACAAAAATGCTGGACGAGTTTTGAATATGAGAGAGGGGATGGTATACTTCGAAATCATTTAAAAAACACTTCGTTGGATGACTCTTTCCTTTCGATGAACTGGAAATTTACTTGATATTCACCAATTTGAATGGTATATATAATTGTTTAGATCACTGCTGAATATTTTGCGGATATTTCGTCGCGTTTAATGGAGTCGAATACCGAGGCTGAGCGTCGAATGCAGAAGAGTGCAGCCGGAAGTGCAAAAGCGGTGAGTAAGAACTAAGAAGATTTGAACTAAGATAAGTTTCTAATCCACCTCGTTGATGTTAACATTCAGCGAGTCAAACGAGATCGTTCACTAAGAGTTCGTGGTGATTATAACAATACTACAAAGACGTCAAAAAAGAAGGAAACTTCAGCGATAAAAAAGAGCGACTCTACCGGTACGTTGATTTCAGCCGAACAAAAAGCAACAAAATCATCAAACAAAGTGTCGGTCTTCATTTTATAAATGTTACTTTTTAGATTTTATCTTCTTTGTTTCGTAATATTTTCAGTTATTAAATTGTTCTGAGAAGTGAAGAATAGCTAACGCATTATATCGAACGATATCCGTGAATATGAGAAGTAAGGAGAACATTATTCAAAGAAATTACATCACAAGTGCACGTTTGTTTGAGAAAGACTTGACGATCAGCTTTTTTCATCACTTGATACGTAAAAGAACTGATGAATAGTTTTTGCTGTTGGATATTTTATAGCGAAGATATGACAGTCGAAGATATGACAGTCGAATTAATCACACAACTGAATTATACAAAAATCGCAAATCAACTAATTAAGAATACGACCAGCAGATTGAGTGTATTGTTGCTTCATGCAATTCGACAGGTTTGCCAATTAAGTGCCTTTCTTGATTCATGTTTGCAAATGTTGAAATAAGAATTCTTTCTTTATTGAAATATGATGAATTGAGCAGCATTCGCTTTGAGTAACAGCAATAATTTGATTGTCGTTTACAGCAAGTAAGAGGAAGCAATTATTTGAAGCAACTATTTTAAAAAAGGTTTGAATATATCATTCGCGGAGATTATGGGAATAGTATTTCATGAGAAGCAAACTTTTTATTGGTATTGCTGCAGTGAGAAATGATAGCAGCGACGAGCTATTTTCAGCAGCTCACTCGAGCCAATAAAGGCACAGCCGAACGTTCGCTTGAGATGTTCGCCAAGAAGGACATTCTCTTGCTGAAGCATCGACGCAATGTAAGTGTTTTCATAAAATAAATGCTTGTATGCATTGGTGTTTATATGCTAATAGTATGCTTAGATGAAAAATAATTTTTCACAGCTAAAGAGGTGACGCTGAAATTATGCTTCTACTTTTAGAGTGTCGTAGCGGCGGTCGTTAGCCAAACAGAAACGGACAGCTGGGCGATAAAGGAGGAATTGGCGAGACTGTTGAACGCGTTCGCGTCGTTTCGTATCGGTCGTGATTATTTGGTGTCAGTGAATCAAGGTCGAGAACTACTGACGTTAGTGACAGCTGCACTCAAGAGTAAACGACTTCAGCATCATGCCAGTGATCACAGTTTAGCTGTGCTGCAAAAACTGAGTGTTAGGTGAGTTGATAATTGAAATGATGTTCAGTTTGAATTCTGAAATTATTGCAAAGCACAAATAGCAACCAACAATTTTTTGTATACTTCGTGTAAATACATTCATTTTTTATCGCTACTCATAAGAGATGATCTTAAAAGCGATATATTTTTACTTACAATCAGATCAAGTGTGCAAAAAGAGTTGATTGCACAAGGAATGTTGGAGTGGTTGGCATACGTATTGGACAATAAGGTCAGTGCGTTTGCTCTGGAATATGGTTGTGCGTTGCTCATGAATTTATGCCTAAATCCAGCATCTAGTTCTGCATTAACTCGAGTCTCAATTCCACTTCTCAATACTGTATCAGCATTGCTGAAAAACAATAATAAAGAGGTAAATAAATCAGTTTTTTTTACAAAGAAATAGAAAACCTTCGTTATGTTCTCAGCTCGTTTTATTCTGAATAATCACAATCGATTATTATCATCATTTGATGTTTGTTCATAACGATTACTACCATCACCGATTGCCAATTAATATCAGTTAATTTTTAACGTCAGTCAAAAGTTTCATTTACTTTCACTTGTTTTTTTCATTCAGTAGGACAAGCGTGTTTGGGAGATTAAAAGCTTGATTAGTTTGTTGATATTCCTTCTGTATAAATGGTATCGCGATGGATTGTTGAGATGGTGTTTTCAGATTTGTAAGTATATTAACGGTGTTTTGTATGGTATTATGTGTGTAGGAAGACTGAGAGCTCGTGCCAAGGAAACGGATTTAGAGACGAGAATAAAGACGAAATTAGATGACGCACATTGTGAGGATGACATGCTTCAACTACCAGTATTACTGAAATTATTTAATTCAGGTTTAGTTTGAATTTGGCTTCAATTTTTCAAATTTTAGTTTCATTCGGTTTCATGTGATCAATGCAACATAAAACTGGTGCGTTACTCGATCGCGTTTGGAAAAACGTATTCAGATAAACTTGCTTTTATTCTGCACTTAGGGTGTTTCACCGACGGAAGACGTGTCTTGCAAAACTCTTTATACTATATGAATTGTTCGTGGTTTTTGTGGCTTCCATATTTGAACATTCCTTTTCAAGTTTTTCTTCACTTTCCCAATTGACAGCAATCTTCGAAGGATATAATAAAGCGTGAAAAAGAAAATTGAGAATGGATAACATTTGACATTCAAATTGCACATCTCTAGTAGTTAGTTATATGTTGTAAGGACGTTTCGAATGAAAACTGCAAATTGCAAAGCATGATGATCGCATATGCGATTGTGAGTGAAGGCGTTATTGCATGATCCTCATAAACTGCCGCTTGCTGCTCTACACTAACATTTTTCGTTTCATTCATTCCTTTTGTAACATTTCAGTCTGTTTTCTCCCTAGCCGATACACTTTTATTGCGCTCTTTCTAATTGCGTACTCTTTATGCATAATCTGAAATTTCATCAGTGCAATCGTTTATTATTCATATTTATCTCTTTGTCACATGCGTCTTCTCTGCATGTTCTTTTGTGAGGTTTGCGAATGGATTAGTAGTGTGTTGTAGGAGTGCAGATGTATGCATTTAATAATAAAATTTTGAATTTAAATTCTGCATCATATAATCACATATGCACATGTATCCATCCGATTTATTACACTACAACAAACACAATTTGGATCTATTACCTATCCATCTCAGTAAACATCATCGGATCGTCAGCAGTATACATGAGTCAGTCGATTGCTTTTGTATCGCATAAAATTGAAATTGGTGATAGTTGTTACTATGCAGCATTTGCGTGCAACATAGGTATGTGCAAAAACACACATTGTTGATTGCATTTGGTTGGATGGTATGTATGCTTATCGATGACCAATTTTGTTTTAGCTGCTTTTCATATATAGATGATGCTACAGTTTAGTTGCGTTTGAGAGCGGTGTTTTTGGCCATGGATTTTCGATGTATTAATTACCTCAGTTCTTCATTTCCTTTAAAATTGAAATGATCTGTCGATTGTATTAAGCATGAACTGTGTTTCACTACATTTGCGCATTCTTTTTTCTGCAGTAGATTTATTTTCAAAACTCGAACTAGTTTTTTTTTCACAACGCATTAATTTTTCGTTATTTGCTTCAGAATCGAAAATTTCCGATGGCAAGATGGAATAGACAACTGATACATCATGCAATTAGCATTACTCGTTTTTGTATTCGTCACCTACACAAATTCCATTCTTTTGCAATCAATTCCTCTATCAATATTTTTGTGTAAATTATCGACATCTTTTTTTATCATCTTACATCATTTAATTTCAAGTGTCACCATCCCCGAATCGATTTTTGATGACGATCAATGCCAAATATTCTCTTTCATTTAGTTGCAAGCGTTCACTTGCATTGCATTCGAGTTCAAGGTTCGGTGAAAACTGCAAGGACTAGCTTCAATCGATGGTATAAGCAGACGGTGACGTTAGGTTCGAAGGCATAAGAAAGTGAATAGACAAATTGCAAAAAGGAATAAAATAGTGAACGAGTGTCTGGTTTTAATGAACGAAGTGAAGGAATTAATTATTTAATTGTTTGTATTCAACGATAAGCTAATCGCCTTCAATTTACAAAAGCATATTAAATATGCATATTTGTTTTCTATATATCAGCGCAATTCGGATGGCAGATTGTAGTGGAGCAATGAGCAGGACAGACTAGGTAAATCTCCACTTTCGGAATTCAGAAATCTATGAACGATAAATGTTTTCGTTGACGCTGTTGTGTTTCTCTTATGTGGAACTTAACCGAAAGAGATTGCATATCCTTCGCTTTTTTCCTCGAAAACTTTTCAAATTTCCCTTGAAAAAACTGATGCGTTAGTTATATGTAGATCGTAATTTGGTTATATCTGCTTTTTAAATTGGAAATAAAAATGTATCAAATATGAAATTAAATGAAAATCAGTGGAATGCTATGACGCAAATTTTTGTGATTCACCCTTTAGCAATAGCTATGCGTCGAGGTACTACTGTAATCACTAAATTCAGAAGAGTAAAAACAGTTTTTGGGTGGTCAATTAACTGGACACATTATATAGTAAGTGGATGGGTGAATAGCATAAGCTATTGATGTTCATGAATGGTATCAGCTGAAGTGAGAAAAAGCTTGTTGCTTGCCGATCGATTTGTGTTTTGAATCGCATGATCGGTGGATGGTTTCAAGTTGATTTGAAACGATGATCCATCCTGTCGTAGTAGATCAGTGTTATATACGCTCGCTCGTTCAAATCTCTTTTCTTTCCTAATTTCGTTTCATCCGTTTCTTATCGTCCTTTTCTCTAATCTCCTCTTCACCATCACCTTTCTTATCTCATAAAAATAATAATAACGAAAAGAATAATAGAAATAAATGGTGAATGTGTTTCGTTGGTGATATTCATTTATTCTGTTCGTGTCAGCCGGTCACAGCCCACACCAACCAATTAACGTTACTAACCTATGCATATTCTCAAATACCATTTTCAAATCGTTCTTCAACAACCACCAACCAATCATACATTTTAATTTCGTTTTCCTGTCGCTCTATCAATTTATCATTCATTCATTTATATTGCGTAATTGTACTATTAATACTGCGACTACTATTGTTGAAATTATTATTATGAGTAACTCAAAAAGTAGAACGTAATTAAACAAACTTTCATAAATGATTAATCAATTGAGACAAAACAGTATAAGATAACATTCCACTTTATTGTTTTAAGCTTGTAGAAAGTGTAAACAACTATTTGTTTATTTATTGCCAGTCGGATGAGATAATGGGTAAGCAGGTAATCAATTGCTGATAACTGTGATTATCTTATATGAGATATACGAATAACGGTATTGATCATTAGTGATGATAGGATTAGGGCTTAAGGTAGGTTGAAGACTACAGATGGTTGCGATAATCATTATATAGAGGCAGGGAGAAAGAGCGAGAAGAAGAAAGAAAGAAAGAAGGTGGTAGTGCCGGCTGGCAGCAAGCAATGAAATGGACATGCAAAAAATGTGCCAGTGAGTGAGTGGCGACAAGGACATGGGGCTATTAAGAAATGGAATGAGGCAGACATGGGGAGGAGGGGGTAATAACAAAGGAACTAAAAACGAGGGTTGGATATGTGAAGAGATCAGTGGGCGGATGGGAGGGATAGGTGAATTGGATTGATGCTGATGACTGCCTGGTACAAATTTATTCAAACAACGTTTTGAAATATTTTGATGTTTGATTTATAATATTCTATTTAACCTTGCTCTTTCATGTCTGTTTATAATTGATTTGTGTGTCTGTATTCAGTTAAATGTAATGAAAAGAAATGGGATGTGACCTCAAAAAATGGATGACAGCAGATGTAAGATGACATAAATTGTGTTTCAATGGCATTCAACTGAGTAGTGTTATAATAAAGATGTAGCTGCAGTTGTAGCCGATAACTATGCTTGTACGATGTTTATAGGTTTCTAGGCTTATAGGTTCCCTTCATCTTATCAGCCAACATCAGTCAAGAGTATTTCGAGTGGAATGCAACAACAGATGAATGACGACGTTATTTACACTCTTACATTCCCCTTCATCGATTCACATTTTTCATTTATTTACGCTTCTCTCTACTTTATGCTAGCTAATTGAAGATTACTTCAACCATTTTTTCTCTTGCTTTTTCGTCCGCTGATTTTTTAGATCAATTTCATAGCATCCATTTTTTTTTCAATTTCCAACGTTTTTCCATCTTCAGCAAAAGCAGAAAATCTCGTTCAGGCCCTTCTTCTCAGGTTATATTTGGCACTGAGTTTCGAAACTTTCTTCGGGAAGAGGAAGTGGCTTTGAGGAATCCGAAAGGAATTGAGAAATTAATGTTCACCACTGTTTTCAAAAGATTCTTGTGATCACAAGGAATTGGGTTGGAAACCTGAAGGGCTACCGACGGAACACCCTATCGGTTGCCACCGAAATTCAGTGGCAACGGAAAAGGCAAATTTTGAGCATCGGTCAGTGCTGACCGAAGTTCAGTTTTCCACGTCCACCGACCGACCAATCATTTTCGGTCAACGGCAACTGAGTCAACTCTACAAGAAATTAATTCGCTCAATATCACTAGTGAATTATAGACAGCAAGCATCTTGATCTTTTTGTTGCTTATAAGTAAAATAGAAGAAGGAATGATGCTCTGTTATATAATGCGTAGAGCGCGAGTGCGTTAAAACCACTGCTCTGACTGAATTGCGTGCATTGAGGCAGTTTTTGATTTGTGCTTCTTGTCTTTATTGTCAATAGTCGGTCGGTTCAGAAACAAAGATGTTTGTTAGTTTTGAGTAAGTGTTATATTGCAGAAGGAATGAACTTGTAATGGGTGGTCAGTAACGATCAATTTGAGTGCTTAATAGAACACTTATTACGTTATTTAATTACCTTTTGGTTTAAGTTCTCGAAACTTTTTAGCTGTTTGATGGATCTCAAATTGCAACAAAACTGGTCTCACGAGACTGGTTGTTCTATCCTAGAAATATCTTAAAACCCTTGCTGTCGTCTATTTTGTTCACATAAAAATATGCGTTAAAATCAAAACTAGGCGCTCAGTTACCACTGTGTTGATACGTTAGTCATAAATCAATTCTCATCTGAGAAACTGCTCATCAATATATATTGATAATCATTCACTACAATTCGATTAGTTTCACGCAAAAATATCTATGAATTTCAACTTGGTTCATTCGACTATCTTTTGGAAGAGATGTTTCAAATTCATGTAAATGCTGGTGAATGTTCATCATCTTATATTTGCAACAGTGCTATTCATAACTTCCTAAGCAATAAACGATCATCCATTCAACTGTTGTTTGCTATGACACTG